TATATTAAATAGATTCATATTTGATGATAATTCAAAAAAAGCCAGGCGAAATTGATCAATCAATATAATCATATCAATATTTCATAATTAATTATGATATCCATTTCGATATTTTCTATTACGTTAAGATTCGTATATCTATCTTGCATTTCTAAAATATCAATATTTCTAATTAGCGAATCCCGTCTTATCAGAATTTTGAGATTTATGATATTGCAAAAGAATGATCAATAATAGGAATTCTAAATTATCGATTTTTAATCCTAATTTTTGAATCGTATATCTTGATCCTATATCATTCCTTCCTTAATTCTATTTCTGATGAATATTTTGCCTCGTTATGATATAATCATTGCTATCCTTCCGATATGATATATAGCCAATTATATATTGGAAATATATATTCATCTTTATGATGATTGATTATCTCCAATTGCTATGATTGAAATTAATATGATTCCAAATATCTTTTTGAATTATATTGATAGCATATCAATGAAATCATGAAATTTTCATTTAATTATGATTATTTAATTATCTCTCGATGAATCGGAATGATAGGGAAATTATCAAGGCATCGTTCTGGCAAATTCAATCAATCTACCATTCTGATGATCTCTCGATTTATTAATCTCATGATCTATCAAATCTATGAAATTAGAAATCGATTTATCAATTTACCGATATGAAATATTTATATTCTAGCGAATCTATTAATCTCTCATTCTATAGATCTATCATTCTCTGAAATCTATCTATTTGAATTCGATCTTCCAATTTTTTCTTCTAATTATAAGATATTTTGAAAAAGAAGATCTATTTATCTAATGAATAATTTTTCTATCTATCAATCTTGAATTTATCGATATTCTATCTAATCTATGATTTTTCAATTTATTTGAAATCATCTGTTTATCAATTCTTATAGAATATAGATATTTTATAAAATATCTGAGAATCAAATAAGATCGAAAGAAGATCTAAATATAGATATATCTATCAATAAGATTCAAATCATAAATTCAAAAGAATTTCTTAGGAGCGAAGAAAATTCTAGAAATATCATTCTTGAAAAGAATCTCTATATCATAAATATATAAAATAGAGAAATAAGAATATATAATTTAGATAATCTTATTCATATAAGAGAATCAAAGAGCTAAAATTATCTAGAATATTAAATTGAATATAGAAATTCATTGGACGATAAAATATGATCTAAATTATAAATCAATAATTAAAGAAATAGATAATTGATATATCAATCCTATATGAAATTCAGATAGAAATATTATCTCCTAATAGATAGATAAATATATATCATAATATATTTTTGATAATATTAGAATTATTCCGTTATTTCTAATAATAGAATAAATATATTTGAGAAAATTCATAATGAGAAATCCGATGACCAAATAATATATAATATCGTATATGAGAATCGATGAATATTCATTATTTTAGGACCGCACGTAAAATATAGATTCTGAAAGATTTTAAATTTCCGCTCCGGATCTTCATATTCTTCCGAGCAGATAGATAAAAAAAAGATAAATAATTCGAAATCGGAAGATTCTTGGTCCTGCCGCCTTGAATCCCTCCTGGATTATCTGCATAACGGATCGGGGAAATGCATAAATCTCTATGAATAAATACGATCATTTCATAAATTCAGAATGATTTTATTCTCCGTCTCGGGGCTACGCGTTCTTCCGAATAGCCGCGCCGATAAATAAAGAACGATAAAATGCGGAATCTATAAGATCAGATATGAATCCCGACGAATAATCAATTTGATCAAAAACGATCTATCTAATAGATCCTGAAAGATTTTTTAGATCTCCGTCCCTGACCTTCCCTGAGCCGTCGCGCAAACGAAGAGAGAATAATAATTCGAAATCTGGAGAGATTTCGGATCGCGATTCTATATCCAGGTCGATCTTTCCGCCTCATTTATCTCTCTTAGGCTATCTGCACGAATCTTGGCGTATATAAATCTCTATGAAAAAATATGGTCAATCTATATAATCTAAAGAATTTTGATTTTCCGTCTCTCCAAGCAATCGCCCAGATAACGAAACAATAATAAATCTCATGGAAATGGGGTCGGAAATAAATTTCATATAGAATATCTTTGAGATTTTGAATCGTTGCGTATACCAAAAATCTCGAAGCTTATAAGATAATCAATTTTTCCGAAAGAAGCTAATGATTTCGAGATTTTAGAATCCTAAATTATCCGTATAAGAAATTTTGAATTGATAGAGAAAAGTCAAGCTACGCGCAAGAGAAATAATCCAATACGTATATTCAAAATGCGATTGAAGATTAATTTGATTTTTTATAGAATTTTTTATTTCATCATTTGATCTCATATATTTTGATAGAAATTCCTGACGTAAATAATTAAATTTATAAATAATTTCGAATCCTCATATCTATTTTATATCGTATTTAAACAATATTTTCGCGCACAAGACCTTTAATAAATCATATTATACCTAAGATATAGAAATATAAGATCATAGTCAAGTTGAACCTTCTAATAATTCTCGAATACTTATAGGATCTTTAGGATATATGCATATTTAATTCTCCTAATAAAGATTTCTATTCGGGCTATTGCCAATATTCTTATTCCTAGAATTGCCCTTAATTCGAATTGCCCTGCCTGCCACCTCATAAGATAAGCATCTTAGATGACCATATCATGATGAAAGATTTGGCTCTAATTTTTCGAAAATTTTAATTATTTCGAGTGCGGCGCCTTTTATTTTCTCCAATTTTCATTTCTGTCCTTAGCATATCGTGCTCAATATATATTTCATTGCCTATCCTTGAAATATTTCCGATTGTCAAAAATCATTGAAATTGAATAAAATCATTGTAAGATTTCGATTCTAATTAATGCATGCAATCTTAGTCTTATTTAGAAAATCGTATCAAATAAAGAGATATAGTGCCATTAATACGTATTGCCGATCCCTAACGAGCAGCACACAGTCCAAATAAATAATAAATATTAAAGCAATATTAATCTTATCTATATCCGACAACACTATGGCATCTCAAATTTCCTAGCCATAGAAAAATCTAAATATTCGTATGGTATCAATTACTCAAATAAATTACAAATCTAGTGCCATCCTATAAGAAATGGAGTGAGTACTAAAAAGATATCCAAATCCCATCATAATATTCAAGGTCTACCTTATATAGTCTTCTTTTATAAGAATTTTAATCATTGTTCATTCTCATATATCGTAATGAAAAAATATCGTAATCATAAAAATATATTTGAAAAAGAATAATATATAGAATTCAATTAATCTATTATTTATAATAATAGAAAATAAATGAAAGATGAGATCGCGCGCGTAGCCCAATATATAATATATATGTATTCCAAGAAACGACCACTCTATATAGATTCTGAAAGATTTTAGAGCTCCATTGAGCCGCCGCGCAGATAACCAAAGCGAGAGAAATAATGCGAAATCTTGAAAGATTTTTGATTCGCGCGGCCTCCGCATCCAGCCCGGTCTTTCTGCCTCATTTTTCTCTCTTGGGCTATCTGCGCGGCGGGTCAGGAGAGCGGAGCAATTCCCGTAAATAGATACGGCCAAATATAAATTCTGAATGATTTTCTTTTCTCTCTTCCAGGTCTATGGCTTCATTCTAGCAGCCGCGCAGTCAGCTAAAGAGAGATAAATCACGTCGAAGACAGCTCTGGAGGCAGCAGCCGCGTGACCAAAAATCTCCGAGATTTTTGGTCGGGCCAGCCGCCCCAAAATTCTCGGAGATCTTAGAGCCTCTAGCTTTTCCGAAGGTCTCTAAAATCTACGAGATTTTAGAGCCCCTAGGGAGCGCGCAGGAGTCATTTTTGAGGTGAGCCAGAAAAGCTAGGCTGCGCGCGAGCGAAATCGCCGCAAGTAGCCGCGCCGTAATATTGAGGTATTATTATATTCCTCACGGCTAGTTATTGGGGATGATATCGCTAGCATCGGACTTGTTTTTTCAATTTCCTTCCAAAAATTTTCTTGCGGGCTCCCTAGAGGTTTTAAATATTTCGAGTTTTTTGGGGCCTTTCGGAGAAGTTGGAGGCTGTAAAGTCTTTGAGATTTTTAGTCCGCGCGGGGCGACCAACGTTTTCGAAGAATTTTGGTCGCATATTCCTTCCCTCCGGATTCATTTATTTCTCTCTGGTTGTCTGTGTGGCGGCTCAGTTGATGGGTAGGTGAGTTAGATTCTGATTTTGGCCAATTTTACTTGTCGTTGCAGATCGGTCAGTTGCTGGAGAATATTTTGTAAATTCTCTGGCAGCGGCATTTCAATTGAAAATGGCTGACCCTCGAGATCTTGCATCTTCATCATCTGACAATGCAAGAATAATCGAGGCATTCTCATAATCTGTTCCGCCTGTTTTGAGGAACAGATCTCACCACCTGTGGAATATTTTTGATCCCCTACCAGAGGACGGCCTATGCTAGCAAAATGAGCTCGGATCTGGTGCATGCGGCCTGTGAGTGGGTGCACACGGAGGTATATGAATTCGTTGGTGTCTGCCGCGTCACTATCCTGTGCTGAGATTCTAGATATGGGATAGCTGGCCAGGACTTCATACTGAGTACATGCCTCGAGGCCCTGGTCAGAAGGCACTGCTAGGCCCGACATGCCCTCACCACTCATCACAAGGAGCGGTGTGTTGATCTCGCCTTCCGTACCCGGATCCCCAAGCGGTTGCCCGAAGCACAAACAAAGGTAGTTCTTGCCCACACTGAAGCGGCTGGCAAATTGCGCCTGAAGCCAATTTGCTGCAGGAGATCCAGGCTTGCCATGGGCAACCACTAATACACCAGAAGTGGGGAGGTCCAGGCGCGAGCAAGAGGTGAACTGCGCCAGGTTCTGGGAGCCTGAGGCTTGCAGAACTCCATCTGCCAGCTTCTTCAAGATGTCCTGCCACCCAACACAGGGGGGGGGTTCTTAACCTGGAATACCAAAACATATGGGCTTTGTAAGCAGATTATGAGGATCTCCCTCAACGTTCTGGCGAGGATCTCCGGAACTGAGAATTCCCACCCGCAACCCGCTACGTGACAGGCATGAGATGTCTAATGTCATCTAATCCCACAACTGCAAAGATTGTATTCTTCTTGTGAAATACCATGCCCAAAAGGAGGACAGAATCTTACTCTATTTTGGGGACTATAGGATCTCCAAATAAAACATGACTCAGCCCCTACATAATACCCAGTTTCCATTTCATGTTCCATGTTCCCTTCCATTTGATTTCCTTTCATAGGCTACTGTGATATTGAAGACCACAATATCCCCAAACAAAATCCCTAAACCCTGGACCCTGAACCCTAAACCCTAAAGCCTAACCCTAAACCCTAAAGCCTAACCCTAAACCCTTAAGCCTAAACCCTACTCAACTGAGGTGCTTCTGAGCTCTGATCCGGAGGCTTGGCAACCGCCACTATGCCTGGCCTTGCAGCCAGAATTTGTGGGGATCCTGGCCTGTGTCAGCAGAATTGGGGAGGTTTTCGTAGATTAGGGTTTAGGGTGTATTGTGTTTTGTTTCAGTGTTTAAGGTGTTCTGAAGGATTTAGGGTTTAGGTTTTAGGGTTAAGGGCTTCTTCTTTTTCTAGAATTTGGGGTGTAGGGGTTTGGGGGTACTTATAATGAGGATTACAGTAGTTGGGGGTCTACATTGGGGTTCGCCTGCTTTTAGAAACTAACATGTGGAAGCAGAGTTTGCAATACAAGCAATGACATTAGATGGAGATCGCTCTCAGGGAAACTGGCATCAACGAAAGGCTCGTGACGGGCGTCTGACAGTGGGGGAATACAATAGCCCCTCTACGACTACGCAACCCTTATATAAACCACAATCACAAGCAAAACCTATATGAATATAATCCCTGTATATACCCTAAACCCTATAGCGGTGAGTGGCCTGCTGGTCTGGAGCAGGTTGTAGTCGAGAACTGCAAGTTCATCAGGGGTGGCCAGGGCTTTCCTTTGCGGCAAGCGTCTGCAAGGTATCCACTGCCCACAGCAATGCAACACAGCTCTGACCTCTAGCAATGGGCCTTTCCCGAAAGAGCTATAGTCTAAATTCCTGGTATCCCCCTTAATAACCCCTATGATGCTAATCCCTAAACCCTAAACCCTAAAACCTAAACCCCAAATCCTAAACCCTAAAACCTAAAGCTGAATGGGCCCAGGGAGCCATCTCTGTAGAGCTTGTTGAAGAAGCTGCTGGGCATCCCCGGTCCCTCAGATGCCAGCTGACTGGGGCTGATATGTTATGTAGTATAATAGGGTAGAGTAGGGTTTATTCTGGTACATTATAGTATACTACGGTATAATATAGTATATAATAAGGTAGAATGGGTTTATTATAGTATATCATAGTATATTATGGTATAATATAATATATAATATTTTGAGGCTGGGATTTTGGGTAACGTAGACCCATGATTGATAAACCCCCTCCCTTAATAGGGATTCTGATCGGGATCCGAACATTAAGGCCGCTAAGAGGAGGCCTGCATGCTATCCATCTATTATACTGTAATATACTATAACATACTATAACATACCATAATACACCCTGTTCTACCCTATTATATACTATATAATAGTTCAGGTGGAGTCAGCCAAGAATCCCACAGCCTCCTGCACGGTTCTGGCAATAGATGCAACGTGCATTCCGTTGGCCGGCATCCTTCGCACACACTGAGTAAACCAGTTCGGCTTCTGCCAGCCCGTCAAGAAAGGCGAGGGTTGGGCTACGGGTCAACATTGGGTACTGAACTGTGGCTACACTTACACAATGCACCACCCCGCCTGTGCGAGCACATCGTATCCAGAAGCACGAGGCAAACTTCCCACTGCTTAGCGGCAGCGAGCACGCGGTTGAAGATGTTGCAGCACTGCTCACAGGGAAAGTTCGGCAAATTAGCCGCTCTGCTTCCCATGGTCCAAAAAGTGTGTTGCGCCAATTGCCACTGGCGATGCTTTTCCTCAAGTGCAGGCACGAATTTGAGGAAAGCATCCATTGCAAACAAAACGTGCGTAAAAAGCGCGCATCCCCTCTGGCGAAGAGTCAAAACAACAAGACAAATCAAATCCCATCAACAAACCCGGCTGAACCACCTGGAGGCCATCCGAACTCATCAAGCAGCCAGGGTGCACATGAGCTCATGAAAGCGCCGCACGTGACTTCGTCTGGGCAAAGTCTGGTAGTCTCCAGCTGACGTAGCAGCAAGCTGGCCTTCTCCCTCGGTGCAAACATTGCAAACATCTTATTGAACTTACAGGTACTCACTTTCATGCATGTGCGCTGAAAGTCTAGCATGCTGCGGTGAAGAACTTCAGCATCCTAAAGGCTACAATGTCTTGGACACCTCAATGCCGGCCGCAGCACCACAAACCCTCATCTGCGAAGGCGCTGAGCATCGCGTTGCAGCACACCTGATGGCTTCTAAGTGCAATCTAGATCCACAACTCTCCAAAGGTCAGGAAGGCCATCTGACGCTGTGTGTCATGTAGCGTTCAGTTGATGAAGTTCCCTCACTGAACACTGGTAATTGCTGAAAGCACCGATCTCAGGTCTACTCGCGTTGTGCTAGCTGCGAGTGGATGCTGTTGTCTGCGTACGCTTCTGCAACTGCAGTGAACAGCCATGTCACCAGCGTTGGCTCGGGAATGTCACGAAAGATTGCCAGTGCGTAACGCCACTGCCTGCATCACAGCAATTGCAATACATAATGAAAATGATGGAACAGCTTCCGTTCTCATCGCTACACATGAATCCTGATGATCTGAAGAATTTGCTTTCTACAGGCCACCAACTGGACCCTTCCCGTCCTACCGGACCGGCAAGCATTGATTCCTGGCGTGGAGAGGGACACCTGAGTCTATCGGCTACTTCCACTCCACTCAGCGGCGGGAAAGAAGTGCACCTCAACGCTTACAGCCTGACATCAGCCAGGACTCTTCTGGAAATGCGGCTTCAGCTGACATACGCTGGAAAACTTGAAGTGCCGTCTCCCATTGACTGCCACGATCGCAGGCGAAGATGGCTGCGCATGCAGCATCACAGACCGGTGTCTTCTGATGGGCAAAGAGCTCATCAAACAAGCTCAGCGACAATTGCCACCTGCTGACATCACCCAATGTGTTCATGGCGGCAGCGTAGATGGTCGAGTCGCCCGCCAATCTGTGCTGAGGCAAGCTTGCCAAACAGGCCAAGGCTGCTTGCCATGCTGCTGTATCCCTGCAAGCTGTAACAGCCATGTTGCATGCAGTGATACTGCATGCCACTCGGAGATCTACTGCCATAGCCAGGAGATCTGAAGCCTTTTTCCAGCTTGTCTGTCGGCAGCAATGGCAGCAAGAGCTGATGGCCAAGTTGAAGTGTGCGGCATCCGGGGAAATGTCAGCTTCATGCAGGGTCTGCAACAGACCCAGAACCCCTTCCCACTCACCGCAGTGGTCACAAGCACCCATGCAAATCCCGTAGGATCTTCGCCATTCTGCTGCATCTGCGTGCTTTTCGAGCGGCGCCGCGGCCAAGACCTGGAGGGCAAGCTGCCATTGCAGGCCAGCGTCGCAAGACAGCATGGCAGCAGACCAGGATGACAGGTCATCCAGAAGCGTCTCGGGCAGCATGTGAAAAAGACTCAATGCAAGAGGCCACTGGGTCGCGTCTCCTAATACGATCATCAAAGTATTGTATGTGATCTTTTTCGGCTGCACCGAACGCAATTGCATTTCATCCAGGAGCGACAATGCCGTCGTCCATTGCCCAGATCCCTCAAGGGCACCGATGGCGGCATTGTAGACAATCTCGTTCGGGTATAAGTCTTGATCTGCCATATCCTGTAACAATTCCAAGGCAAACTGCCATTGGCCACCCTGCCCACATGCACGAACAGCCGCGCCGCAGAAGATTTCGTTGATTTGTGCAAGTTCGTCACGCATTTGCTTCAAAATGCTTAAGGTGATAGTCCACTGGGATGCCTGCCCACATGCAGATATCAAGCCACTGCTTACAAACAGTGATGTCTGCATGCTTCGACGACGCATGTCAATGGCAAGTGCCAACGCCATGTCCCACCGGCTCTCCCGCTCCAGCGACGTGGTAACAGCCCCATGTGTAAAGAGGTCAGGCAATAGGTGGTGTGCCTGCATCTCTTCCATCAGGCAGAGTGCCACTGCCCAACCTCCCGGTTGATGACAGGCAGATATGGCTGCATTGTAGGTGATGACATCAGGTTCCAACAAGCATCTGAGCCTTGCCAGTAGGGACAACACGTAAGGCCAAGGTTTCTGGTCTGCGCTAATCACAGCACTGAAAGAAATGGCATCTGGAGTGATCTGCTCTCCTGGCATGCGGAAAAGATGGCTTAAGGCCTGGATCCAGGAACTTCCCTTCCCACAAGCACTCAGGACACCATTTGCAGTGATGCAGTTGGACTGAATCTGCCAAACCTTCATCTGTTCCAGTATGCTCTGAGCATGCTGCCACTGCCCGGCCCGCGCCAGGCAGGTGATGATCCCACCACAGGTGATGACGTCAGGATTGCTCTTGCTTGCGCCTCCGATGGCCATGGTGATTAGAGCAACTGGCAAGAACGGTTCCTCAACATCCCCTTCAAGACTCTGTGCATCCAACCAGTGAAACGAAACCCGAGGCCAGGAAACAATGCCCTCCCATTAACCACATTTGCCGGCTGTCTGTGGTAAGTCTAGATGCCACGTACAAGCGGAATGGCTGAGCTTCCCAAATCAATCAGATGCCAAGCCTTAAACGTATTGTTTAAGAGCGGTTCTCTCACTTGTTAAGGATTAGATTAGAGATCGCACACCACAATTTTGATGAATCTTCTTCTATTAATATGAATATCTGGAGATCAACAAGCAACGACAATAATGACTATGTCGCTTCCTTTCCATCAAGAATTCTGGTTCCGATCGGGATTTGAAAAAGCCTTGGAAACTTCCGAAGCCCAAAACTAGCAGTATCCAGCACCAGTAGCAGCAGCAGCAAGAGTGGCAACAGAGAGACAAATGACAATGGTGTAGTGCACCGACCGCTGCTGCTGCTGCTGCTGCTGCTGCCGCCGCTACTGCTTCCAGCAACTGCCGATTCAACTGAGCACCTTATGCTGCCACTGCTGCTGCTGCTGCTGCTTGTCATACTGTTGCTGATGCCGAAGCCAGGCCACCGCCCCGCGTCCGCCACCGCCACCGCCGCCACCGCCACCGCCGCCACCGCCACCGAAACCGCCACCCCACCGCCACCCCCACCGCCACCCGCCGCCGCCACCGCCGCCGCCACCACCACCACCACCGCCGCCGCCACCACCACCCCTTTCAAGCAGGTGTAGTTGATGGGTCGCGCACCCCTTCTGCAAGACCTACAAGTATTTAATACAGCTTCTATCAGCCCATCTAGCTTACCTGGCGGTAAGCATACCGACCATGATTGAAAACAGTGACCAGTCAAGGCGCAGAGTGCGGAAAGCAGGTCCAAAGCCGGCTCCCAGGCAGCAGATCTTCTGCAGCTCTTGAGGGCTGAAGTGCAACAAGCCTGCAAAAATGAACAGAAACTTGCGCAATTGTCAGCATCATTGATTTAATACTGCCGCAAGAACATGCAAGTTTCAACTGACAACTATCGTAATGAGACTCGTACCTAGGACAATGTCGAGACTTACGGAGCCCTCTCAGGTTGGTGAAGCTATTTGCGGAGACAGCCTGCAGGTAGATGATGTTCTCCTACTTGCCTCAAATTTAGGGTTAAGGGTTGACTTGAGTTATGTTGCATGAAGTTGAGCAAACCTTGGGGACTTTGCTTGCTTCGGGGCTTTTGCAGATGTTTTTTCAACTTGTTCACGGCGTTTCCAAGACAGCCATTTGCAGGTGAAGGCTGCAAAATCCAGACCTGTCTTTCGTGTGGCCATTGTTTTTTGCAAGATTCGATTTGAATATTACTGCTAGATTACTACTGTACCCTAAACCCTAAATTCCAAACCCTATTGAAACCCTAGTTTGCCAAGAACCTCTGGCTGCACTCGGAGTTTGCCCTGCAAAACACAATCTGCTCTACACCAGTTTAACATCAAATTGCAGCATGAGCTATATTCTAACTAAACCCCAATATCCCCCTTCATAACCCCTATGATAGCCTCCTATACAATCCCCCAGATAACCCCCTTTAAGGAGTACAGGCTACTGCTATAGCTCAAATGGGCTCATCTTGCGATCTAGCACTGATTAAAAACATGATTGTCGGGACATGGACCTCAGTAAAAATGCTCACCTGCACGCCCTGACAAGAATGTTTGCTAGCTCAGACCACATCATACTAAACCAATGAGGGAAGTTTGTGGAACTAGTCCCCAATATACTAAACTCCTTGTTCTTGGGACCCCCAACAAGGTACTTATTGCTGTTAAATTATTGCTAGTATTACTACTTTTGCTATGATTAACCCAGCAAGTTGGGGATCCCTGGGCGCTACCGTGCTCACAAAACTCGCATCTCCTGCTGGCCTGGTCGAATTCCAACGCAGAGGCGTGGCTCTCTTGCCTGGGTTGCTGTTAAGGAACTTAAGATAAGTTGCCATAATGGGTGTATAGTAAATAACAAGTTTTTCCCAATATAGTGACTGAAATTAAGTTCTTTAACAGGAACGCAGTTGCAAGAGGGCTTTGGCACGGTCCAGGCGAGGCTGAGCAGCTTCCATTACTGGGTTGCTGTTAAGACACTTAAATTAATTTACCATAATGGATATATATATATACAGATATATGTATCATACTTAGTACGGTTCCTCCATTATAGTTACTTGAATTCAAATCCTTAGCAGCGACCCAGATTGACCTCTGCCAAGCCATGCAGGTCTTCAGATTTGCCTGTGCCCTGGGCGAACAGTCTTCGAACAGCTGTTTGGAGAGGCCAGGGCTGCGGCTATGGAACCTACCACTATGGGCTATTAGACCTTAAGGGTACCTTAATCTACCCCTAATAGGGTCCTAATAGGGAATTTTAGGGTCTAAAAGCCCATAGTGGTACTGGTAAGTGTAGCACTGCTCAATGTAAATGCCTGGCTATTTACGCCACACCGCTGGGCGATTAACGCATTTAAGGATGCTGTGCAGCATCTACGCCGCACACAGACCAGACAAACAGCATAGTGCCAGGTCAGCGAACATCATGAGCTTCCGAAGGAAGCCTGGCCCAATCAACAGGGCAAATGTTGTACCTGCAGGGTTCACAGCACCTCCGCTCTCGGCCGGCCATGTTCACTTTTCATGCAGACACAGTCATCATTCTGTTTTGGAGACTGTTTCGCTGAGTGTAGTTCCACAGGCTCCGGGCTTGTTGAAAAAGGCTTGCATCGGTCCATTAAATGGCTTAATTTCGTGGCCGCGCCATGACTTTGGGAAAGCAGACAGGAAACGAAAAAACATGGAAAAAAAACTTTAGCCGCCAGTTAACATAAGCTGCCGTCACCCTTCAGCAGCAAATCCCTTCGTCCAGAATGCTTTCTATGGCGCTCCTATCAATCTGGCAGCTCATTTTAGCAAACGCTCCAGCACTAAGTAGGCTAAGCATGTGCAAGATGGATCTTGACTGCGGCCCTTTTCATTCGCAATGCGCTTGTGGCGTCGTGCTCCCGCTACTGCATGACATCTGCCTGGAAGCAGCTGCGACTTCTGGAGCCTGCTTCTGTCTGGCCCCGTCACGTGGTCTGCAATGTGCAGCTCCATCACCTGCGAGCAGTCTCTGCATGCTACATTCTTCTGCATTTCTATTAGGGAAAGCCTGCAGGTGGAGAGCAAGATGGACAGGGCGGCATCACATCCCGGGCTTTGTCATTTCAGGTTGGAAGTATGGCTTCCACGATTAGAGGCATGGTCTTGCAAGCATGCACTAGCAGCGACAGGTCTGACAGGCGTGTGGCCTTGGGTGAATGTGCGCATCAAGTGCGGGATTCTGCCGCCTGGCACAGAGCAGCACTGATGCACTGCTTGAACCGTCACCTTGCCATCCTGTGCTTTAGGTCCCAGCCTGCGTTTCATCAGCAAGCTGCCCCTGCAAGCACAACTGCACAACCCTTCGGCTTCATAGACATCTTAATTCTCCAATACGTACACGCAAATCCACTTGAGCAGCAGAGGACGGCCTGAGCTGCGAGTCCGCCTTGCGGCGGTTCCCTCCTAAGCAAGGGCAACGGCATATCATCTCTCAATTGGAGCCCTTGGGAGGCTAGGGGTCTAGGCCTAGGGGGACTACAAGATGGTGTGTTTGACTGAGAACTTGGCAAAGCCAATCCACGCCTCCTAACGCGCACTAGCTTTACAAACTTTACAACCACGGGCCTGGCACGCATTTTTAAGACCAAGCAACAACGACACCTCCACCCACGAAGAACATCAACGAATTGCGAAGGATGCGCTCCCAGGGAGACCAAGTAAACAGATGATTCAGGGCACTGCAGGTAGTTTCCATTTCATTTTCCATTATCCCAATATAACCCTAACCCCAATATTATAGTAGTTTCCATTTTCTTTTCCATTACTTAGCAAGAGCCCGAATACGTTCAACCTAAAGATGCTTTCAAGCCGTGAGCCGCGTTACAACATTATGCTTGGCCTCTACAAGAAGATGATATTATGGGGGGTCCCCAGCTTTATAGGGAGCATTTTGAGAAACGCTCAAATCAAACCATGGCAAAGTCAGCACCATTAAATAACACCTATATAATCCCAGTTTCCATTTCAATTTCCATGTTCTTTTCCATTTGATTCTCCATTATAGGGCCCTAAACCCTATATTGGGTACCATAGTCAGTTTATTCACTGACCAAAGGTGAGCCTGAGAAACCTCACATACCTAGCTTAGCCTGAGCGTTGGGATGTTACGTTCAGAGTGGACAATGGAAAATAAACTATCCATCCATGGAAGCATGTAAGGATGCTTGCATCGGCAGCGACAGTCTCCATAGTTCAAGCCTATGGCCATAACCCTAATCCCTAAACGCTTAACCTAGGCTATAGGTGTTTTAATCCATCTTTTCTGCGTGGCTTGAATCCCCAGGAAGATGTCTTTCTAGAAGGGTTTAGGGTTTAGGGTGAGGGTCTTACGGTCCAGGGCTTAGGATGTGCTACCGCCGTGCCAGTCTGTGACTGGGTTCGCAGCGAAGCATCAACGAGTAAATCCCCATTGCCCTAGAATCATGTTCCGAACCATCCAAATATTCCCCACAGAAATCCCTCCACAGATTTCTCCAAAACCCCCACCCTACTTTCAAACCCTAAACCCTAAATGGTAGCTTTGAAATTGGGTCCTCACTACGGGGACCTCCAAAAAGGCACCCCTAATTTTGGGAACCCCCCTTTTTCATCCAAGGGACCCAAAGCCCAACATGCGACCCATCTCGGAGGCCGCGCGCACCAGCGAGGCAGCAGCAGCTGTGAACATCAGGGAAGGAACTTCGTATTGAGGTTATATTAGGTTTATAGTCGGATAATGGAAAAATGGAAACGACTATTTAGGGTTCAGGGATGTTCAGGGTCTAGGGTTTAGAGTTTTTTGGTTTCGGGGTTGTAGGGTGTCATCTAGGGATATATGGGGAGGTATGGGGTTGAGTGTTAAAGCAAAACTGGAGAAGAAAAGGGAACTGGAAGGTTTCCGCCAGGAATATTCAGGATTGCCTCCCCTGTGTGTTACCCAGCCAACCCTCTAAAAGCACATATTCCCAGTGCGAGAAACGTTCATTATTGGGGTTGCATATCATTATCAATTATTGTAGTTTCCCAGAATAGGGGGAGTCCAATATAGACCGCAATTATGATCCTTATTATTATAGGCACCCCCAAAAGGTACCCCCCAAAGGTACCCTCAACTTGCGGAAACTTCATGCTGAGGGCATTCCCTTTGGGTTATATGGGGACGACTATAGGGATGCGTTCTATTGGGATGCGTTTCTTTATCCCTGCTAGCCAGCAGCAAGTGTAGGGTTTTGTTCTCACCGTTCGGACTTATGGGTTTAGGGGTTTAGCCTTCAAAGTTTGGGAGTCGTGGATCTTGAGCTATGGGTTTCGGGTTCAGGGTTTACAGCTTAGGGTCCGCGGCTTGGGGCTGCTGAGTGGAGGGTCACTTATTGAGGTGCCTCAGTGTTGCAGAGCTCTCAGGTCTTGTGATGACACTCTGTATTAGTACAGGTGCACTATGAGTAGTAGACGTTACAGAACTGCTTACACTCCTGTTCTTGCCATTCTGATACTCCTCATCATCAACAAGCTTCCTCCTGCTGATTTGGACTTGTCATTGTCGTTCTGCCTCTTCATCGCCAGCAGCAGCAGCAGCAGCAGCAGCACGACCACTATCACCAGCACCAGCACTACGCCTGTACTACCTGCAGCTGCAGCAGCCACCAGCACTGGCGCTTCCACTACTTTGTGAGGGCGAGATGGCCGGGCATAAAAAACCAAAGTAAGTCGCTCAAAAGCTGGGGGATCTGCAGCTTTGCTAGGTCTCTGTATTCTGCGGCTATTGACTTGGACTAGTGGCAACTGGATGCTGAGACTCTGATGATCGGAGCTTGCAAACGATTACATGTCTACATGCGACCCAAGTCAATCGGCACTAGTCCCTAGAAAAAAACAAGGCTTGATCAACTTCAAGGAGTTTGTCCAAAGCATATGCCATCACAGTCTTGAAAGTGGCATCTGGCCTCCTGTCTCATGCAGCCCTCGGACCTCACGCGCCCGCACACAAAACTGCAGAACTTGTGACGGTGCTTCTGAATTAAATTACAAGAGGAATGCTGTCCTGGTCGTTTTCATGTCAGTCTGTCCACGACAAGTCCCTAAGCACCCTCTGGGACTGCACCGCGTCTCCAAACATGCAGGACAAGTTCGCTGGGACACGTTCCGGTCCGAAACAACTTTAGTCCTGCTCCGCAACCCCATGTTTGTACCTTTTGCGGTTACATTGGAGTTGTATGAGGATAATGGAGAAGAATATGGAAACTGCTATAATACAATAGCGTGTATCTTGGGGCTATATATAATCTGAATCCGAAACTCTAGGCCGTTTCACAAGGAAGGCAACCTTAGCCGTTCTTAGTAGGGAATAAGGGAATATATTATATCGGAGTCCTTCAGGAATTATATTCCGTTATTCCCTACTAAGAACCAGTAATAGCCCCAAATTCCAATCCTAAACCCTAAACCCTCAACCCAAGTCTGAGACTTCTGCCCAAGCAGGCACAGGCTTGGCCCCCAAACGCTTCGCCAGATCCTTGCTTTCCGGAACCATCTGGGGAGTTGCTAAAAACAGGTTTAGGGTTTAGGGTTTAGGGTTTGGTAGTTTCCATAAATGGAGATACCCCAATATAAACCCCAGAATACGATAGTCCTTATTCTGATTTTGGGAAACCCCCATTTTGGTTATCCTAAATATTAGGTGTCACAATATAACTCATACCCAAAGGGGTTCATAATATTGAGAATAACCCACATGGCCCGGCTTGGGAAAAATGGGGTTTCCCAAAATTAGCTGTACCTTTTTGGGGTCCCAATAATATGGATGGACTATAAGAATTTAGGTCTATGTTCAGTCTGACTGGTCTATATTGGGGTCCCCTTGGTTTGGGAAACCACCAAACAGGGCATCTAATCTGGAAAGGTCGAGCAGCTGAATCCTAATCAAAGGAGAACCATTGTGTCTTCGGGGTGCTCTGCTAGACTAAGCCTGTCCTGAATGCCTTATATCCTGCGCGACAATTACTGCTGAAACAAGCCCGATTGTGCTCGGAGAAAGAACTTAGATTCTGACATCCTAGTCTCCGGCGTTGCTGAAATTCCATCAGGAGGCTCATTACTGGGACGCAGGTTACACCTGAAAGCGCGGGTCGCGTTGTAGCTGAGATGGGTTCAGATTCAGTTTCTTGCTCTGAGCTGCAACAGCGTGCCCTACAATCCTACAGCGTTAAGTGCTGGTGTGGTCAGATATCAGCAAAGGCCTATTTCGGATTCTGACAGCCTCTAGGCTCCCCTTCACATGGACCAAGGGCGACACATCGCAGAAATGAATGCAATTGCAGTGGATCAGGTCATACCTGCAGACCATCAGGGCAAAGCAGGCAACTTGGGAAGGCTCACGGAGTGCACATGTCCTTTGTTTTCGAAACATTAAAATACAAATAGTAAGTACTAGTAATAACAAGAAAAATAAGATTTCAGCAATAACAACAACAAGTATAGCAACAGTAGTAGTAACAATAAGAATAACAATAGTAGCAACAAAAACAAGAATAATAATACAGTAATAGGTTTGGGGCGGCACCCTTTCCGATGCGTTTTACACTCTCAGGCAGGGCTTCGCAAGACACGTAACAAACCCAGCTAATTTGTCGGAAGTGATATCTCCAGATGCTTGCAGGTATTGAAAATTATAGGTCTAGTCGAATTAGCCGTCAGCTGTGTCATTAGAAATACTAAGTGACTATGAAGTGTCAAGTCAATCATGCAACATAATTCAACTCTTGAAACTCTTTACAATGATTGAAGCCAACTGAATTACGGAGAAGACAATGACACCCCTCAATCCAGGATTCTCTCCTTTACTGGAAGTAAATTGGTTTTCTAAACATTATGAAGTAATGTGCCCTTTATTCTCAGGACTTGTAACTGCTTGAGATGGGCCAGGGGATGTGCTTCCGTTGGCCTATCCCAAAAGCTCAAATAACTTAATAGAATGAAAGGCCAACATGAGCATTTAAACTAAGATGTTACCTGTTTAATTAAAGAAATTTTGATCATCCGGACCGTATGGGATTCATCCTTGATTTTTTGAAGTTCCGACTATGGAAACCAAAAACAAAGGCCAGCTCTTCTATATAGATCTGTTAGGTTTGCTGATGTAACCATGGAAGATCCTGTATTGAGAGCTTTTTCAAACCTGGCACTTAAGCCTGTCACATCACGATGCTCATGACACACAGGTGCAGCTGGGACGATGCGCAAAGTATTCATCAGCAGCGGTGAGTCCTTAAAATCTAGAAGCTGCTCACAACAAATTCACTTTCAAGCATACAGAAACTAATCAACATCTCAAATGCGCTGAGGATTTGTTTTGAGATGCATTAACAGTTTTCAGAGGAAGCGTCGTATAAGGAGCTGCACATCTCAGAAAATCATAGAACAATTCCCAGAAAACCTGAAAATCCAAAAAACTCAAAAAGACATTGACCTTAGGAAACGAACCAAAAAATTGGGACTCCTGGCCAAGTTGGCATAACCTGCCTGAGCAAAGAGTCCTGTAAAAATGTATTATTTGTGGTTTTGTTGGCATATGTTGTTTTTTGTTCGGAGTGTTTGGCATGGTTACCGATTCATTTTCATTGGTATTGTTTTACGCTGCTTTGAGTTCTGAGCATTGCTTTTTGAGTTAGCTTTGCAGTCCCCCACACGGTAGATCCAGAAAATCCTGCGCTATTCACAATCCCCTGAATATTGCCATCATTGGGGTGTGGACTAATACTAAGTGGTCATCCACAGTATTTGCGCGTAGTAAAGGGACCTGAAAGTGTGAAACGCGGCGGTGAAGATCTCGCCCCAGACCAAATACTAATAACAAAACCCGCAACGATAGCAGTCATAGTAATCGCAATAACGACATCAATGGCAATAGTGACAATCAATAAGTGCAAGTGTAACTGGAACAGTAATGTAACGAGCAGCAAACACATACCCCTAGGAAGGTGCACAATCTTAGTGGCTGCCACAAGAGATCAGAAGAGGGATGCCCGCCTACTTCTAATTACCAGCGTTGTTGATCCCAAGAGAGGACCCACCTCAACCCTCGAGTCAAAGGTTTAGGGTACTATCCCTTGGAAGTCCTTCTGCAATCCCTGACTGATCTCTGTATGTATCCTATGGCGGCACCCTGCAATTCTGGCAACCCTAAACCCTAAACCTATCCGCCTCTTGCTTGGCCAGAGCTTGGCAACCTCGCTGCGAACCAAGCGATAGGTCTGCGCTTCCTGCGGGGTGCTGCATGTGAGGGCTTCCCACAATTAGGGGTGCCATTGTAAGGGTCCCTATACTAAGGATTATAGTTTATAGTACTTTTGGGTATTTATTGGGGTCCCGCTGTTTAGGGAAATTACCATTTGTATCAGGGGTCGTGGAGGATTGCTCAGCAAATGTTTCATTGAGATTGGCCGAAATGTATAAACAGATTGAGCCTCTTTAAGTCTCGACGACAACTCCTCGTGTGACTTGCCAGTTGGGAAGTACGACTTGCGTCACAAAACATGAAAGTCACGCAAAATTCATTCCAGAGCCTACAGTCAAGAGATTCACAGCTCAGATGGCTACTTGCGCATGCGCATACGAGCAGAAGCCGGCAACAAGATGTTCTAGGTAGCAGATCTCGCCCTCGTTGATTTCTTCGTGGCAATCTGTCAGGATGGCAGAGTCGTCAGCGCTACTCACCACGATATTCCTAAGTTTCATGGGGCAATTGAATGCTGTGAGCACAAGAATGGCCAAAGCGTAACATAAGCTCATCGCCCTGGATGAGTGCGAAGCACACGTGCCCATCCAACACTTTTTGTTACAATAGCCTTGGATTTCTGCCGTCAAGGCACTGGGGCCCATCGAACTCGTGCATGTGTCAAGGGATACGACTGGCCTCGCTGGTTCAAGTTGAAAAGCTCATGTGAGCTATAGTCTAAACTCCTTACATGGGGTTATATGGGGGTTTATATAGGGGACTACTATAGGGGCTATTAAGGGGGATACTAGGAGTTTAGACTATGGCTCATGTAAACCAACAACCATGACTTGTTCTTGGCAAATTGTCCAGGATCGATGTCACTCTCCTATGAGCCGTCATGTGCTGCAGGAAGGAACTCTGGGCAAGTGCTCAGGTGCATCAGCCCCAATACGATTTTGGCATGACAGGCGCCATGTTCCATCGCTAAAAATAGTAATAATAGTAATAATAGTAATAATAATAATAGTAGTAGTAGTAGTGGTAGTGGTAGTAGTAGCAGCCCGAGTTAGTAGTAATAGTCAAAAATAATATTCTCAATCAACAAAGATGATTTGCCCCGTGTTGCGGTCATCCACCATCTCTGCATTCAGGCTTCAAGTTGTAACTAATCCGGCTGCGTTCATATTCATGACACTACAATAAACTGGGTTGCTGTTAAGGAACTTAGGCTATGTTACTATAAGAAGGCAAGCCATTCTTTACTATAGTCGGAACTGAGCAGAGCACCTGCAGCGGCGGCAATGTCAGGTACGAAGGTTCCTCAGCCAGCAGTTGCAGTTGAATTTCAGACATGCTGCGATATGAGCTATAGTCTAAACTCCTAGTATCCCCCTTAATAGCCCCTATATTAGTCCCCTATATAATCCCCTACATAATCCCCTTGAAGGAGTTTAGACTATAGCTCACATGAGCTTTTGGGAGACCTGTGCGTAAACCAGCTGTTAAGGTGACAGCGTACGGCTGACTCCTCCTGACTTGTTCGAGCAGTAGGTTCCATTTTTAACCCTAAACCCTATACTATAGTTTCCATTTCCTTTTCCACTATCCCTATATAACCCCAATATTACTATAGTGGAGGATTGTACATCTTGCTCCTAGCCTAGCTTCCTAGAGCATGCTCTGTCTTCGGGCACGCCATGCATGAGGCGTTGGCTGGCTTTGCCGTTTACAATCTGGTCGTAACGCATCTAGTGCGTGGATCCCCCCCCCCCCGGTCGCCGGCAGCAGTCCATAGAGGCTTCCAGACTTGCCGCTCACAACTAATGAAGTCACAGCCTCCAGGTTTTGCAACATGGGCATCATTCATTAGGAGGACCCCCCTCCCTGTAATAGTGGTATAATAGGAATATAAGAGGACCCTAATATGATCCCTATTATCCCTTATGGTCACTATTACAGGGTGGGGGGTCCTCCTAAATTATTCAGATCAAAGCCGCTTGCCTCCGATATCGCACCCCTTCCCCAGAACCTGTGGACTGTCCCTCCTGGCTGTCTATTCTTGGTACTTCCACGTGACACGAGACAGATGGGAATGTTTGGTTTTTCAATGGGAAAGGATTCCGAAAATTGCAACCATACATTGAAGTAGACATGCCCCTCATCCAGGACCTAAATAATACTTTCCCAAAATGATGGGACCCCAATATAGACCCCCAAATGCTATAATCCGTTCCTCGGGGTCCCCAAAATGGTACCCCTAATTTGTGGGGAAACCCCTAGCCCCTCAACCCTACATATACCTAAATAACACCTAAAACCCCCTTTAAAGGTACAGCACCCCTAAATTTGGGAAACCCTCACATTCTAGAAAGGCTGCAGCACGCGGCTGCAACATGAGACGACTGCGTCATGGCGGAGGCAAACACAAGATGCATGAGAAACCTTACAAGCATACAATCTGGATGATAGAGCTTAGGGTTTAGATTTAGGGTTTAGGGGCAACAGAACAACAACAATGATAGCACGAATTAAATTTGATAAGAATAGTAATGGGAATATTCATAACAAGAATAAGAATCAATCTTGCTTTTCATGGGCCTTCTCCTTTACTGGAGGTTTCCCAAAACAAGGGATACCCCATAAGCAAGAATACACATGTACTGGGGTCTATATTGGGCACCCCTGTTTAATCATCTAGGGAAATTCCCAACCCTAAACCCTAAGCCCTAAACTTTGAACCCTAAACCCTAAGCCCTAAACTTTAAACCCTAAACCCTAAGCCCTAAACTTTAAACCCTAAACCCTGCACCCTGGACCCTAAAAATCCTAAAGCCCCAAACCCTAA